ACCACTGATATCTGGGAGAAGCCCTTTTATCTCATTATATACCAATGTCCTTGCTGATTGGCCATCGATTTTATTTATACATTTAATGTTCTCGACTCGATCCTCATATGCTTTATAGTAGCAATACCAGCATAAAATCTCTTTTTGTCTAACTTTCATTGCTATAATAAACAAATCGGCTATATTTTGTGCTGTAATTTTGTTAGATCCTGTTACGATTGCTTTTAGCGAGAATTCAGGGATTTGTATATCAAATACTTCACTAACTTTATTATTATTCTCTTTAATGAACACAGATAAGCCGTGCCTTAAGTCTTGCTCTACCCTTCTATTATATGGAATTTTTATTTGCTTCGCAAAGCAACTTACGTCGCCTCCAGTATTTTGTGCTTGATCAGTAGGTATTAATTCTAATCGGGTAGTTTTATGATCATGGGTAATTTCGTTAATAGGATTTATCTCAGTAGAAATTGCATTTTGTGTATCAGAAGAGGAAGATGTTTTTGTTGCCCTTGGCGAATCCTCTTTTCCCTATTTCTTTCTCTTGCCATATTAACAATCCTTTCCTTTTCCTGTAATTCCAAAAATTCATCAATTTCTTCCTTTTCCGATGACAAAATTTCTATAGGAATAAGAGATGTGAAAGATTGGCTATCTTTTTCCTGGTATATGTCAGAATCGACTGTGTTATTGGAACTATTTTCTATTCGTTCAGGAGCAACATCAGAATTCGAAGTATTATCAGATATATTAGATGCCGAAGTATCGTTAGAATTTTTCATTTCGGTAGTTAACTGAAGATTGATCGATTTCCTTGGCATCATCATCTGATTTGTTCTTTTCATCGGTTTGCGATTGCTTCTGTTCTAATTTCGCAACTCTAGCTTTAAGCTCAGCATTTTCAACAGCAGTATCTTTATCGTTCTGCTCCAGTTTCGCAAATCTGGATTCATGTTCTTCCAAAGCTTGTTTTAATTTTAGGTTCTCAGCTTTAAGTTCGATTTTCTCGGCCTCAACTTCGGAAAATTTTTTTCGAAGTTCAGGAATTTCAGCATTCTCCTTTCTAAGTTCAGTAATCTCGGATGCAAGCCTAGAGTTTAATTTTCTCAAGATCTTGATTGTTAATTGATCGTTTGACATTGTTTTATTACAAAATAGGATATATTCAAAAGGTTAACCACACGAAAAAAATATTGAGAATAATCGCCTTTGTTTTATTGATTGTAATAAAATCAAAAAATAATATTTATATATTATTGCCTACACTAAGTTTTCGTTTGTCTAATCTATATTAATACATTATCTCAATATTAATTATAATCTGGTTTCGTTTGTTATCGACATCTGAATAGAATAAAAATAGTTATTAGTTGTATCTGTACGAAACATGCAGGGTCAAAAATGAATTAACAATGTTAACCTTAGCAAAAACCTGCTGAAAGTTTATGTTTCCTGCCTTATGGTGGGGGCAATGTATCGTAAATTTAGAGGTAAGTAACAATTATAATAAAAAGTAGCCGTTGTAATAGTACTAATAGATGATATGGAGGAGGTACAACGTTGATAATCGCTTATTGTCTAATCGATCTGTTGTACTTGTTTAATCACAACGTCACGCGACGCCAACCGATGGATTTTTACAAACTTAACGAGATTGAAGACTGGGCGTGTATAAAGGTTGTAAAGTATTACCGTGCGAACTCGGGACAAAAAACTTGGACAAAAGTACTTGACAAAATAAAAAAGGATCTCCAAATTGTGGCATCAGACCCAGCCTTTGACGCGAGACGCAAAAGAAAAGCTCAGGAAATTATAGACAGCTGGAAGGTATAATTATGTTGAACAATTTAGGAAAACTGACTTTTTATTATTAGTTTTGAACGATTAGGGAAAAGCTGTGACTGTTAGTCCACAGTTATGAACTGCTAGTTCTTCCAGCGCAAGCTATGACTGTTAGTCCATAGTGATGAACTGTTAGTTCGACGCTTAAGCGCAAGCTGTGACTCTAGTCTACAGTGATGAACTGTTAGTTCGACGCTTAGTTTTATGCAATGTCTCTTTATGGATGCTACTGATTCTGCATTTTCATTAAGATTTGGACCTCCCCGATGAAAAGGAATGGTTCGCAGTATAATCTTAAGTATCAGAAGGTGAGCTTCGGGTCTGAAATTTGATAGATAAAATATATATATATAAGTAATATTTTTTATTAGGTGGAGCAACAAGTGCTTGCGACTGGAAATGCTGTGTCTGTCGATAATCGTCGTATAATCGAAAAACGTCGACAAGAAGATCAAGATGATAGAGAGGAAACATTGGACGAAAGAAATAAAACTCCATTGACAAGAAGAAAAAGGTGAGATCAATCGACTTTATTAACGTATTACTTCCTTCACAATGAATAATTAAACATTGACAATTATATATGATAAAAAATTTTGCCGTTCTGTCTTATAAATCAAGTGTAAAACTGAATCCGAAAATAGAACAAAAAGTGGGAGAACTGTTGTTCCGAATTATAGTCATTTTTATGGCGAATCGATAACAGATGACGATGCTTCTGAAAATTCTTCTTCTAGTAGTTTAGATGAGCTAAACGATGAGTTGGTTACTCAAAAGAACGACCACTTTGATGAAAATCAAGATATTCAAATTGACAATGTAAGTTGTTTAATAATATTCCTTCGTCTTCGGAAATTAATTGTACTGTTAAAACATTAATTTTATAATACTCTAACCTATTAGCAGAACTCTTCAACATTAACAGCTTCAAGTACCATTGAAACAGATGTGGTTGTTTAATGTATAAATTCTTATCTATAATGTATAGTATCAGGAAATATATTGACGAATTTATTTCTTTCTGTAGGAATCAAATCAGAAATCGTTAAAAGATCTGCTTGGTGGCAATCTTTATTGCTCAGAAAATATGAAATCCATCTGCCAATACCATGATACACTATATCCTGATGAAAATTTAATAGACTTACGGCCAAATTCAAACTATTTCAAGAAACTTCCTTTCAAAATTCTGGAACCATATTTTAAAGAGCTTGACGACAAAATTGAAAATTTAATTCCACTAAATATTCACGAATTCCTGATAGAGTTTTTTCATCAAGATTTGACCAGCGAGGAATGGCACATCAAGATTGATGATCTACGCTGTTTAGATCAAAATGATTGGCTAATGGTATCTGTTATACGAATTTTGCGCAGAACACTACCTCCATTGTAAGCACCAAGTACAAATGCTTTTGCATTCACCCATAGGTGTCATATTAACAGTATGTTTACTCAAAATTTTGTAGCATCATGGCGTTTTCTATGGGAGCTCGAAATCCACTACTTAACTTAGCTACATTAGAAAAACCACATTTAAACTCTTTTGTCCACCCATGTCTACAGGCGTCTCTTTGGTATATTTCAGCAATATGCTATGAATTCGGAGAAATTGGATCAAAAAATCACGTAAAACGTGAATGCGCCGATGGCGTAGGACACCTAAATACTGCTGATAAATTTCAGCTAGTTTATATGGAAGGCTCAAGAATAAATGCTAAAAATGACAAAGAAATAACGGATGCCTCCAAAATATCTAATAACCTTCAAACCATTTTTATAAATATAATAAAAGATAACATAAAATGTAGACGCAGATTTCCCAAAACACTTGCTGTTTTCGGTGGGCAAAGTTTCCGCCTTAGAATTCACCTACAATTTTTAAACTATTGTGGTAAGTTATGTACGTTTGATTTATACTATTGTCTATATTAGAACATTCACTTTATTGACTAATGGTATTCTAATCTTAGAAGGAAAGTTCTGTCTGAATGAAGTGGATAATGCGAATCTTCCACGTGACTTCACAGAGATGGCGGACTTTGTGTTCTTTTATGAATGCGTGATAAAGTGGGCCGTAAGTATTCTTACTATTTATAATAAATGATTTGTGTTAACAAATATTAATAGCAAATTACAAAATTTAGTTACTGGCTCGGGAAGTAAAGGAAGGTTTCGAAAAATCAAGGTCCCAACAAAGGCCTTCGAGATCTCCTACATTAATAGCTTGAATGTAGTGAATACTCTATAAAAGATGATCCACCTACTCATTTTTCTTGGTAGTTAACGATTGGTTGAATCAATCATGAAAACGAAATTATATAAACATTTATTCCAATATATGAATGATTTTTCAATGTAAAAAAAATCGTATGCGTTACAATTTATAACGCCGATCACTTTTGCCAAGCAAAAATTCTTAATCACATTTAGCATCGAAATCAATACAATGTAATAAATTCCGAAATATACATGGCAAAACTAAATACGATTAATTATACGAAAATAGCCACCAGGGCCAGCTTTACAACTCTTCACGGTAAAAAATAAAATAAATTCGAAGGAAAATATACGTCTATCCCTTTATCGATGCAAAAAATATATGGACACATAAATGCCAGATAATACATAATAAAATACAGATAAAAAAATCTATAATTTGTTATTATTTTGAATACGGCGTTTTTTAATTTCATGTTCATCACACATTGTAATCCTATCCCTTAATAACCCCACAACTAAACCAATTACTGTTTTAACTCCCTTCCTGATTGATTCAAGATCCTCCTTCAATGCTGTTTTGGATAAATTAATTCGATATTCGCTTTTGCTGGTACAATATAGCCCTTCTGTAGCGAGTTTAATAAAATGCCATTCCGTAGCTAGAAAAATAATAATCAATCGAAGATATGGTAACGCCAGAAAATATATGAGAGATTAACTTTACCATACCTGTAGAAACTATTCCGTAGAGATAATCATCATCATTTTGAAAAGCTTGATCCGCGGTTCGTTTCCTTTTATTCATGTGACTAGCGCTCTCCAGTTGTTTTATATTTTGGAGATACCCAATTTCAACATTGCGTGGTTTTCCCTCAGCTATACATATAAGATCCTCATAGCCTTTGATTGAATAATCAACACGTCCAGAGCTATCTTCGCCGGATACATCATCTTGGTATGCAATATATATTTTTTCATCGTTGATAAGTTTTCGAGTAATTGCTATTGATGCATTTAGGATAGACGTAATAAAAACGCAACGGGTTGCTTCATTGGTACTGTCTTGCATGGTCTCTAAATTAGAAAGTCTTAGTATTATTTCATTCATGCACTGTTCGAGTGCTTTTTCATCATCACCAATTTCTTTGTAAACTGTAGAAAAATATAAATACGTATTTTAAACACTGATCTGCTACACGATCATCCTCTCATAAATAAATATATATTATTTACCTGGATTGAATTGTTTGATACTTGTAATTTTTTCACCATTAACTTTGTATTTACGGAGAACGTCCTTCAGTTCTTCCAGGGTTTTGTAGGAGGAAAACCTCTTAATTTTTGCTCTGATATCTCATCAATGAACTTTACGAGTACTGTTGCAGGTCCTCCTTTCATACCATAACTGCGAAACTCTGCTTTAGTTGTTTCAAGAAAGGCGAGACCAGATATTTTTTCATTGCGCAAGATTTTGAAATCATCATTATCCAGTTTCAGATCCCGTCTTTGTAAATAATCAATAAGTTCTTCGGTATCCAGGTTTTTAACTACGTCTGCCATCGTGCGAGTTGACCTTTCTTCCGTCAAAGTAGAGGATGTAGAAACTGGTGAGGAAGGTGTTGAATCGTGAGAAGACATGGTACCGTTTTATATCTAAAAATTCGTAAAATCTGGTTTTATGCACTAAGTTGTAAAGAGTCCGATAATGCAGGGAAGAAAGTGAAAAAAAAATTTTTCTGTTTTTGGGAAGATCGGTGCCTTTATATAATCGACTGATTTACGCAGGTCGTAAAGTTGGCTAATTCGTGTAGATCTCGGAGATTGCGGAGATTTCGACTCCCTACGACATAAGTCCTTTGATATACGCACTAATGGAGATTGATGGTCTGCTTCTCCTTATCACCTTTTTGAGATTCATTTTTGCGTGAAGCATGTTTACTTAATATAGGTGTTTTCTCAAACTATGGTAACGAAAAAAGATTTACGCATGTTTCACGAACTTCTACACCAATCACTAATTTGTAGATTTAAAACACATGACACCGCTCGTGTGGTCTACGTACAAATACTTTTATACTTTTCCTGTAGTATGTAGCCGTGATAAGAAAAACACAAAAGAAGTTTAAAAAGACTATAAGTGGAATGGGCTTATCAGCCTTCACTACTCGTTTTATCAAAATTCATATGTCATAGGACCTTGGGATTCCCAGATCGTCGAGAGCATTACCTTGTAGGAGATCGTCAAAATTAGCACTCATGTGCTAGCATAACTATGGGTTTATTATTAGGGGTAAACATAGAGGGCTAACCGAGAAAATAATGGGTGGAGCCCAGACTCGAAGAGTCATGAAAATGTATTTGGTTTTTGGAATAGATTTGACCCCGTTAATGGAGCTAATGGTTCTGGACGGTATAAAATACTTCGTTTTTTTCTCTTGTAAGCGTGGGTATCAATAACATTTTCTATTGTTAATTCCAAAGTATACCATTATTTAATGTATCGCTATTTAATTAAGATTGTAAAACGTATTTGTATTTACCGTTATTCTATATTTTAGGAAGAAAAAAATGAGTAGCTCTAATGATAACTCCGTCTCCAAGGCCAATGAAAGTAATGTTTCCAAGGTCAACGAAAGCAATGTCTCCAAGGCCAATGAAAGTAATGTTTCCAAGGTCAACGAAAGCAATGTCCCCAAGGCCAACAAAAATATTGTTTCTAAGATTAGTGAAAGTAGCGTTATTAAGTTTACTCAACCCAATGACTCATCATCTAATTCAGGGACTATAGATTTTTCTCGAACTCATAAGTAAACTTTATGTGTCAAAGACACTATTACCTTGTAATGTCTCTTCGAGTCTAGCTCCGCTATACTGTACAATCGTCAGAGGTGGAAATATTTGACGAATTAAATTTTATTTCAAAATAGGCAAGATAGAAACAATACAAGGCAATTCAAGAACGATTCAAACTGAATCGGAGAGAACAATAACTGATATTAATTCATCGGCAGATAATATTAGTTTATTAAGATTATTAGATAAAAAATGAGTATGAAGAGCATAGAGCCTCTACTCATATTCACATAATGTAACTGTCGTTCGGCAATTTTTTAAAATAAAGAGATTCTGCTATATATGCGGATTTGCACATGAACACGATTCTTTCGAGGTTTTATCGGATCGAGATCATCGGTCTAAATCCGTGGATTCTGAATCAGAGCTGGATGAAATAGTCTCTGCCTCAGATTTTATCCATGATAGCTTTGCTTTATTTATACAAATTAGTTCATATTCAATAATACGAAGTTTTTCAAAAATTCCATACTCTATATCATTTTCAATAGAATGAACCGACTTCCAAATATTATTGAGATGTGTTTTGATTGAAAGTTTTCCACATCCATCACCTAAATCTACTTTAGGATATTTCTTAATCTTGCTAGCTCTGCTATTTTTGGTAACATCGTCATTTAATCTTCTGGATGGTGGATGTGTAGGAGATATGTTGTGAAATATGTATCTTGATGCTAGCTCCGCTATTCCATGATGACTCTTTTGATATTTATTATCTTTGGCATTTAAAAGAAGTTTCTTGGTTATATTCATAACCTTCTCTTAAGTTAGACCAGGTTTAGATTCCGTTGATTTAGATAATTTATTTTTAGTAAAGCTGGCTTTATGACTCGAAGAGTCATCCATGGGCCTGTTATCTTCTTTAATTAATGGAATACTCATACCATCTATTACAATTTTAGCATGGTGACTATAGATTTCAGAAGAAAATTCAAAGCTAATTTTTGTTTTACGCATCCATAATCAATCTAGTTCTAATATCAAATCAAATGATGGATTTTTGCGAATTTGAAAGTCTATTACTTTGGTGCTATCTAAGCTTCATTACTTTCCTTTATACCAAAATTGCAAATCTAAACATTTTATTTCACCTATTATATCTTCATAGAGATTCTCAATAGAGACACCTACTACACCTTCATAGAAATTCTCATCAGAATCACGTATTTTATAATCTTCTTCAAGTTTATCAAACAAGCTCTTGCTAATGATATTTGATTTAGATGTTATATCGATTAATACTTTAACTAGGATTTTTCCTTCTGAGTATTTCTATAAAAATCATGTCAAATATTATTTAATAATGTATATTGTAATCAATTAGCTTATTCATGTGGCACAGTAGATGCAGCGCAGTAAATGGCGCAGCCACAGTACGTGGCGCAGTAATCACCAATCACTACTAAATCGGGCGAATAAGTAATTTATATTAATTAATTTAATTTATTATTAATTCTATTTTTAATTCATATTATTACCCATATTTAGCC